TTTTAAAAAAACCAGGGTTTTTTTTTTTTACCAATTGGAAAAAGGAAAAAAAAAAAAAAAAAAAAAACTTATCCTAATTTCCCTTTTTTTCCAGCGGGTTGAAAAAGGTGGCCAAAACCAAAACCAAAAAAAAGCTGGGGGGGGGGGGGGGGGGCCAGGTTTTTTTTTTTTTTTTTTTTTTTTTTCAAAAGAAAATTCAACAACGAATCAAATTTTCCCTTAAAAAAAAAAAAAAAAAGAAAAATTTTTTTTTTCGGGTGCCCGATATTGAAAAACCCCCCCGGCGGCGGCGGCGGCGGGTCCTTAGATAAAAAAATTTTTTTTATTGCCCACCTCCAACCAGGGGTTTGAGGTTTTTTTTTTTTTTTTTTTTTTTTTTTCGGGGAACCGATTTAAAAAACTATTTTATCTTTTTTTTTTTTTTTCTTTTTCAATCTCAAAGTATTGATTTCCCCCCTTTTTTTTTTTTTGGGGGACGCCCTTTGGGCCCTTCATTTACACATAGATAAAGGCAAAAACTTATTATTATTATTATTATTATTATTATTATTATCGACAGAGAAAAAAAAAAAAAAGGAAACAAAGAGAAAAAAAAAAAAAATCTTTTTTTTTATCGTTCGTATTATTCGTCGACGAATTTCGAAATTAAAAATTATATTAAAAATCGATTATAATATCACGATGCGAATTTGTCGCAAAAAACTAAAAGCGCTCAACGACGATATTGAATAAAAAATTTTTTTCTAAAGAAAATATTTATTTCCCTTATTCGATTTCCAAAAAAAAAAAAAAAAAAAAGAACAGAAAGAAAAGAAAAGAAAAGAGAAGAAAAGAAAAAAAGGTCGACAAACTTTGGTGACTTTCGGCACAAAACTAAAACAGTATAATGATTTTTTTTTTTTTTTTTTTTTTTTTTTGATTGACGTGAGAAATGTTTTTTTTTTTTAATCCAAAAAAATTAGTTTTGACAATGACTAAACCCTTTTTTTTTTTCCCTTTAAAAACGAAAATTGGAAAATATTATCCGAATTCAATAAAAAAAGAAAAACAAACGTGAAAATCCCTAAAAGACATCATAGGCGGAAAAAAGAAAATTTGACTTAATTTTAAACAATCAATGAACCTGATAGGGAAAACTCGAGAGTTAATCAACAGCAACAGTGGTTTGTTTTTATAGCAAAAGTGGCAGCAGCGGACGCATGATGATGATGATGATGATGATTCGTACGGAAACAAAAAAAAAAAAAAAAAGTTGGCGAAAAACGGGAGCGCTGCCGACTTCGCGACGATATTGATTACACACGCGTCCCTTTCACTTCCGTTTTTTTTTTTTTTAAACGTTTTTTCCCTCTTCGGAAAATTTGATTTTTTTTCCCTGTTTTTTTTTTTTTGTTATTCAAAATAAACAGGAAAAAAACATGTAAAATAAAAATATGTCTGTTGCGCCAAAAAAAGAAAAATCCTTTTCAAAAAAAAAAAAAAAGACAATATTTCATTTTACATTTACAAAAATTATTATTAAACATTTCCGGTTTTTATCATTTTTTTTTTGGTTATACACACAAAACGATCGAGGAAAAACAAAATTGCGCCTGCGCATTGCCTTTTTTCCCCCCAAAACAATTTTAAAACTTTTGCAAAATTCTATTCTTCACCTAAAAAAAATTTTCTTTTTTTTTTTTTTTTTTTTTTTTTTTTCTTATCCTTTTTCCTTTTCTCGGGTCACATCATCCAATTCGATCGAAATTTATACATTTACTCTCTTTTCCCTTCATTTTCTCTCTCCTCTTTTACCCCCTCCAAACTTCTATCCCCCCTCTTTTTTTTTTTTTTTGTAAATTTACAAACTTATGTTTTTTTTTTTTTTTTTTTTTTGAGAGAGAGAGAGAGAGGGGCGGAAAAACCGAATGAAAAAAAAAAAACTAAAACAAAACACACGCTTTTCAATTAACCTCACTACTGCGCTTTTCCCGGGATCTTTTTGCAAAAAAAACTTTTCTTATTTAAAAGAGTGAGAAAATTTTTCTGTTGTGATGTGTTTTCCTCTTAAAAATATCCCAATCTAAACAATTTCTCTCACTCTTTCACTCAACCTCTCTCCTCCCCCTTTTCCTCGCTTCTTTACTTTTCCACTATCCGCAGATTTTCATTTTCCAAATGGCTTTCCCCCGTTTTCTTTCGTATTGATTTTTGTTTTGAAGGTTTTTTAAATTGAAAATTTTCTCTCCTAATTTTCTCTTGCTTCGAAAAATTTAAATTAAACAAAAAAAAAAAAAAAGCATCCATACATACATTTTCCTTTTTCGAAACGACTTTCCAAAAAAAAAAAAAACATAAAAAGTGATTACGAGTGGGGGTGTGGGGTGTGGGGAGGGGGAGAGAACGAAAAAATTAAATTTCATACGTTTTTTTGTTTCCTACTTGGCTTTCACCGACAAAATTGGAATATTGGAAAATATATTTACAGTTGACTAGATTTAAAATTTTTTTATTTTTTCTCTCCTTTCATTTTTTTTAATGTAAAAAAAAGAAAAGAAAAGAAAAGAGAAGAAAGATTTGAAAAACGTTTTTTCTTAAAGATTTACGTAAAAAATGAAAACAAACTCACCACTAGCCAATAGTTCCGGAGACACGAGTCCCGACAAATCGGGTTCTTCGCCGTACCAGAAAATCCATAGTTCTTTGGCAGCATGAAGAGAGAGCGGAGGGTGTTTGACCGGAGCCGTTTGCAAAGCGATGTTGTCGAAAAGGCCGCCATTGATGTCGGATGATGGGGGGACGGCCGTTGCGACCCTTCGCCACACGCACAGTATATCGGCTGCCAAACATCGGGAGAAGGAGGAAAGTATCGGATCCTCTGATGGTTCTGGTGCAAAACCGGTTTCTCCGTGCACCAGTTTACGCCATTTTATCCCACAGAGATCAGTCTGGAAAAAAAAAAAAACAAAATAATAATAATAATAATAAAACAAACGTTTACTACATTTAATGAAGATTAAATGACGAGACGTAGAGCGGGGGGGGGGAAAGCACCGAAACAAATCGAACGACGCCATATAAAATTCTTTAAAATGTATATAATTAATTAATACGTTTAATTTCGAATAAAATAAATAAAAATCCATTTTAATAAGATTATGATTTATTTATTGTGTAGACCAAAAAACACGCATTAAAATATTTTAACTCCAAAATAAAAATAAATAAAACGATATCTTGTAGTATTATAACACCGTACCTTAATACCGAGTTAAATGACCTTTTGCTTCTCTTTTCTTCTCTTTTTTTTAAAATTTATTTTATTTTTTAAATACCTTTACTGATATTTACAAAAGTTAATGAAAAGAAAGTTTAATGAAAAGATGTCATTATTTCAATACGCAAAAAATTTCTCTCATGATTTACCAACACAATCTTCTGCCCTCATGTCCTGGACAACTGGAATATACGTTTACAAACAATTTCTTGTCTTTTCTTTCTGCTAGATTAGTTAAAAATTAATTGTTTGAAAAAATCAAATTAAAATCTTTATATAAAAACAATAATAATAATAACAACAAATTAATTTCGATCGACCTGCCACCTATTGCAAAAAAAACAACTAAAACTTTCGTTCGATATTTTTTTATATTTATTTATCGTTATTGATATATTTCATTACTTTGGCATATTTTTTTTTTTAATAAAGTTTATAAATGCAAACGTGCAATAAAATCCGATTACGAATTTTTCAATTTGAAAAGAAATTTGATATTATAATTTCATGTAAAAAAAAAAAAATTAATGTTTACACAGTACCAAACACTTGTTTCTCTCCTCCAGCCTTCAAACAACTCATATCGCTCTTATCGAATGTCCCCCCTCCCTCCCCCTCCTCCCTTTTTTTTATAAACACCTACCAACGAAAATTAACTTTGACAGCAAAAAAAAAAAAAAAAAAAAAAAAATTAAAACAGTAACAACAACAACAACAACAATCGCTTTCTGGTACTTGAACACAACAGTTTCCTTTTACAATTACTAAAACCATTAAACACAATAATAATAAGGAAAATTTGTCGGAAAATTAAAAATATGAGAAAATCTCTTTTTATCTTTCACACAGTCAAAATCCAACACTGACTAATAATCTATTGACACTATTAAATGAATATTTGGCTTCGATCCACATACAGAAAAAAAAAAGAAAAGGAAAACCAGTTGCAAGATTTAAAAAAAAAAATTGTTTAACTTTTCTCTATTTCCACGTCGAAAAACGTGTAAGTAAAATTACCACCGAAATATATAACAAGGAAGGGATGTGAGTTCTAATCGTAAAAGTGCATCATTTTTTTTTTATTATTAATAGGTTCATCACGCAAAAAAAAAAAAGAAATCAAATTAAAAATAGGTACAAATATTTAAGTGGTCCGTTCGTTCGTTCGTTCGTAGTACTCACGTGGTCAACCAACCTAAGAAAAAAAAAAAAAAAAAAAAAAAAAGACCGTTGGAACCACCGATTTATCATCGGTTACTCAATTTCATTAGCCATTTCATTCCTAATATTTAAATATAAAAATACGAAAAAAAGTACCTGGTCTCACACATTTTGTACCTGAACATTTTAAATTGAAATGTTTTTTGTAAAAAAAAAAAAAAAATAAATAAATAAATAAATAAAACCGCGGTAAGCGCCATTTTATATTTTTATATAATTAAAAAAAAAAAAAAAAAAAAGAGCATTCGAATTTTCATTTCCAAAATTTATTTTCCTTTCACGTTTTTAAATCTTTTTTTTCAGTTGGAAAATTTCAACGAGGAAATACTGTAAAAATGTACCTTAAAAATTTTCTTTTTTTCTCTTCCTAAAAAAACCTCGATCACATTCTAAAAATTAACTAGGACTTTTTTATATATTTTTCATCTGTTGCGTAACTTTTAAAAAAATATTTCAAATGTTATATAACGTTTTTTTTTTTTTAGAAAATTAGTTAATAATTCCGTAAATGTGTTCGTAGTGCCTGATATTATGCAAAAACAAAATAATAATAATAATAATAATAATAATAATAATAATTTTTTTCTTCTTTTCAATCAATCGATCGCTCAATTCATTCATATTCTCATTCATCGTTATTAATCCCCCCCCTCCCCCCGTTTTTACGGGTTATTTATAATAATAATAATAAGAATAATTTTAAACGAGAGTAGAAAAACTATTAAAAATCACACAGACGTTCTTTCTTTATTAAAAACAAAATTTAAAAAAAAAATTTTCTTTTTAATTTTGCCTTTAATAAAAATTAGCCCATCATCAATCAGATACCTGATATTGGAAACAAACACACCTTGCTCACCTTGAATGAATTGAATTCTAAGCCAAAGAGAACACAAAACCTTGAAACTTATTTTTCTGCGGTAATAAGATATAACCTGCCTCCGTAAGAATTGTTTTTAAATGAAAATTAAGTCATATAATAGTGTAAGTGAGTAACGATAACGATAACGATTAATAATAATAATTTAATATTTTAACGTGAAAAGCAGCGAGGAAAAGCTCACAAAAGAAAACTCGAGCAACTACCGAAAGGGTCAATCAACTTTTTAATAAAAAAATTTAATTGAAAAATTTTCCTTTTTCCCTCTCAGGTATATGAGAAATGAAAGAAAACCTGTGGAATGAATGCTAGCTATATACCACCGACCACTGCGAATCTAACAGTGCATGAATGAGAAAAGAGAAAGAGAGAGAGAGAGAGAGAGAGAACAAAGGTAATCTAGCCCGAATCATTTTTCGCACGCAATCGATTTTTATTAAAAAAAAACTCCTGAAGGAGTAAATAAACATTAAAATAATTTTTTTTTTCGTTTGTTTGTTTGTTTGTTTGTTTCCTTAAAAAAAACCCCGAAAATTTCATCTAAACCTAAAAAAAAATTATTTCATTTTGCGAAATATATGTTTGTTTGTTATTTATTTTCTTAATTATATAAAATGATTAATAATAATAATAATAATAATAATAATAATAATAATAATAATAATAATGAAAATAACAAACTAAAAATAAAACATTTCGAATGAAATAAAATAAAATAAAATAATAATAATAATAATAATAATAATAATAATAATAATAATAATGTTATTTTTTTTCCAACTTAAACAACTATGTAATGACCTTTAATGTGAGGTTTAAGTTGAGGTTACCGAACTTTGTTGCTCCACTTGAAAAGGAGATTCTTTCTTTTTTTCTTTCTTTCATTCTTTCCTTCATTCTTTCATTTTTCATTTTTTTTTTTTTTTTTGAATTTTTTTGCTTAATGGATTATTAAGATCACATTTAAGCCAAAGTTTATTACGACTCTTATGGCTACTCTGAAAATAAATTTAACTTTTTACTATTTCCCCTTCCCCTCCTTTTTTCCCCCTTCCCTTTTCATTCTTATTAAAGACGAATGAGTGTAAAAAAAAAGAAAAGAAAAAAAAAAAAAAAATTTTTTTTTGTTATAAGGTTTGGCAAAGGGTAAACATTACGTGGCAAAGCCCTTCACAACGACCAGAATACCTAATCACGATCGCAATGATAACTTACGATGATGATGATGATGATGATATTACACACATAATGAAATGCAACACTGTAAAAAAAAAAGAGAGAGAGAGAGATAGAGAGGGAAAAAAACGCGTTAATAATTTTTTGTTTAAAATTAGGTTTTTTCTGTTATTGTCGTGTGTAAATCATAATTATTATTATTATTATTATTATTGCAATAATTTAAATAATTAACCGACAAAGTCGTAGTAAAGTAATAATAATAATAATAATAAATTTTTTCCAGTTAAAAAGTCAAGTTATGATATTTAACATACATAAAATAAAAAAAAGAGGGGAAATGTAAAGAGGAAGACAATTAGTCGAACTCTCTCTCTCTCTCTCTCAACTATTCGAATCGATATAAATAAATTATATAACCTCACAATCGACTTAGTATTAGTATTAGTACATTATATTTATCTCATTCCTCGCACCATCTTCTTCATCCCTTTTCGACATTTAAAAAGAAATTTTTTTTATGAGTTTACCTTAACGTAATTGCCGCCATTTAAACTTTAAGTAAGTAAATATCTTAACACCGAGGGGGAAAAAAAAAAAAATGGCTACGGTGAGATATACGTATTACATTTTTTTTTTTTTTTTTCGTTTTGGTAATTACGAAACCGACTACCTATTTCGTAAAAAAAAAAAAAAAATTGTCATTTAATTCTTCAACAACTCATCAAAATTAAAAAAAAAAAAGTCGTAAACCTTATGCCATTTGCAAAATAAGAAAAAATTCCTAGGATGATTTTCATTTGGTTTTTAGAGAAGAAAAAAAAAAAATTATCATCATCATCATCGTCGTCGTCGTCGTCGTCGTCAAAGTCGTCATCATTAGTCACTGCTCATTTTTGACACCTACACCAAAATTTACGGTACAAAAAAAAAAAAAATTCTCTCTCTCTCTCTCTCCCTAATTTGAACCAGTCCGAAGCGAAATTATTTATTCTCTAAATATTAATCATATTATTCAGGCAAAAAAAAAAAAAAATTGCCTGTCGCCATTAATAATTTTATTATTATCATTATTTTCCCCTCCTTTTTCATCATTTAAATTTTCTTTGTAATTTTTATTATTATTATTTTTAAATTTATACATTATTCAAATAAATGTTCTCTCTACAATAATAATAATAATAATATATTAACTAATTATTATTGTTTTCGAAAAATAATTTTTTATTAATTTTGATATTATTATTATTATTATTATTATTATTATTATTATTATTTACGTTTCTCGACAATTCTGTTCGTTTTAGTCGCCATGTTTAATATGAACTAAAAAACTTTTAAGTGTTACATCACAATAACTATTAATTCCTTTAATATAAATAATATAAATAAAAAAAAATGGACGGCGGAAAGTAGAACGGTGACCTTTCACCTGATTTCAATTGTAGATAAAGTTATATCGAATAAAATAATTCCGATTACGATTTCCCCCCGGCCCCCCAACCCCGAAATAAAATGAATAAATGTTACCAGCTAAAATATTTATTTAAGTTTAAGGTGTTTGGAGAATTCAAAGAATTCGAAAAAAAAAACCTTCGGAGATGTTATAGCGGGACGGTTACAACGGAGAGAAAGTAAAG